TAGCCAAAGCCCCTTATCTCACTGGTTCTTAGCAGAGAGTTAACACGGGAATATCATCCTTCTATAATCCATAGATAAGACATTTCCTTATTCCTTACGAAACCCTAAACCGTAATCCCTCATCCCTAAACCCTAAGCCCTATATCCTAAACCTTCCCTAAACCATAGATCCTAAATCCTAAACCCTATATCCTAGACCCTTCAATCTCTTATTCCCTACTAACCTCCAGTAAGTTGTGCAGCTTCCAGGTGCCGCCTGGCGGGTCCGATCAGAACCTCAAGACTCGACTCAAGGCAAGGGCTTCTTAGGAGGAAGGTTTTGGGTTTGGGATATAGGTTAGGAAGAGCCCCGAGGCACCCGCAGATAGGACAAACGCTCTAAGTAAGTTCTGGGTTCCCTTCTAAATGCCTTGAAAGTGTGGAAGTGTCCTTTTTATAGGGCCCGTCCTATCTGGAAGTCCCCTGGACCTAGAAATCTCCCTGTTGGAGGAGGTGTCTTCATAACATTTTCTATTACCATAGAATAGTGTCGCCCAAATCCTTCTGCCAAATATTTTGGCCCTACCAGACCTTGCGCGGGCCCACATATCTAAGCCTTGGGAAGTCTGATAGGACAATACATGTGGAGTCATGCAAGATTTTGCCTGCGAACCGTGGACCCTCAACCTTCGACCCTAAACACTAATTACATTTGAGCAACCTGTCAACCCCTCAACGTGAAGCCCCCACCGAATCTAAACAGCTATAAGCTGCTGTAAGCCCCAAATATCCCTACGAGACCAGGTGGGTGACCTGCTGGAGCAGTCCTCCGACTCAGCCTCGCAGGTGGGAAAAGTCTTGAGTCCTAGGGTTTACGAGGGCTTAGGGCTTAGGGTTTGCAAGTTTTGAAGTGTTGGGCTTTGGGTGAAAGGCGATACAAAGTGACACTGTGTTCTGTTCCCCAACATGGGTATATCCACAAAAATCTTTACATAGTCCCCCAAACCCTAAAACCGCTTAACCCTGACCCTATTGACCCCTACATGTCCCTTTTCTATCCCTAAACTTTAAATCCTAAACCTACAAGCCCTAAACCCTAAAACATTAAACCCTAAAACCCCAAACCCCAAACCCTAAACCCAAAAACCCTAAAACCCCCAAACCCTAAACAGCCTAAAATCCCAGGTGTCCTCAGAGGCAGAGGCTGAAGGAGGCGGCCTTCAGCGGAAGCTTCAGGTCGCCGCCCGGGCTGGAGACTGGGCGATGAGAACTGCCCTGAAACCCCCAGGGTTGGAGGGTTTTAGCGTTTTAGTTTTTTTTTTGTTTTTTTTCTTTCGGGTTTTAGGTTTTTGGTGTCTTAGGTTTTAGGGGTGTAGGATTTTTAGGCTTTTATGGGTTTTGAGTTTTTAGGCCTTAGTCTACGGTTTCAGGTTTTAGGGTGTTAATTAGGGTTTACTGCAGGCTTTAGGATTTGGGGGTTTAGGATACCGACAGGGGGTTAAGGGTCCAGGGTTCAGGACGCGCTGGTCGTTCTGAGTCTGAGGGAATTAGAGGTTTTGGGCTTAGGTCGGGTACTGCCCCCACCCAGTAACAGTCGACATTAGGGGTCCTATTAAGGGCTATATATAACCACATTAGACTTATTATCCAACTGTTTCTGAGTGGGAGCGGTATTCAAGCTAAACCCCACCATCGTCATGCTCTTGGGCAGAGGGGTCTGGTTGCGGGAGTCCGGAAACAGGCATCTAGGGTCTCTAGGCCTTAAGATGAGGGGGTAGGGTGTAGGAGTCAGTCATGTCGAGGCATCCAGCCATGGTTCCCAAACGCTTCCCGCAATTCAGGGTCAGCCCATGGAGATTCATGGGACACCCCATGAAAGTCCAAACACGTCCATGAACTCTCAACATTCTGAGATCGCAGGATGATATGGACAGGTTCAACAGCAGTTCTCGATGCTTTCGCCTACGTATTACGTCCGTTCAAACCGCCAAACCCCTGTCCACGTGCATGAAAAGCCTGAATGAGCATGTGCTTGGCCACTGCTTACTAGGAGCATCGGTTGTTGCACCTTACAGTTGGTATCTGGCTATGGAGGGGGATTATCCTAAAGCTCCTGGCAAAGGCGGGATTAGGGTTTAGGGTTTAGGGTTTAGGGTTGGGATGGACACCCCTTTTCTTCAAGATTTACAGTATGGCCGTTGAATAAAACATAATCCAAAGCCCAAAATCTCAATCCCTCGACCTAAATGGTAGTTTCCCAAAATAAGGGGACCCCAAATTTGACCCCAAAATACAATAATCCTTATTATTGGGACCCCTAAAAGGTACCCTTGATTTTGGGAAACACCCAAATCTTGAACCCTGTTCGCATGACAAGGAGATGCCTGCACTGCGGAGGCCCTCCTGGCAAAGATGCGGATGACGAAGCTTGGAAGTTTTGGGTAGTAAGATGATTTTGGCTAGGCTTTTGGTTTAGGGTTAGTGTATAATTTTCATTTTGGTAACCCTTGAGTATGGGGCTACACACGGCTTGTATACAGGGATATAGATTACACACGGCTTATATACAGGGATATAGAAGGGTTGCAGAGGGATATATAGGGATTATAGCACGAGGATTTAGATAGCCCCGCAGAAGGATTCTGTAGGGACATAAGGGGATGATACTAAGTTTTCATTAGTGTCAGCCCCCCAAAAGCAGCGCCCTGTAGCTATCATATGATTGTAAACGGGTCCTAACCTGTGGGAACATTAATTGGGGTTGCCAAAATGCTGTGAGGGTAACAAGGAAGCGCAATGACTTGTTTTCTTCGCAGTAAGCATGCTTGATGGAGGTATACGTGCAGGACCTCCGTGACAGACTTACGGTGAGGCGCTTTAAAATGGAAGCATCAAAAGCTCACTTTCTGCAAAATGGAGAGCCCAGAGAACTATAAACCATCAAATTCCGGGTGTGGTTCTAAAAGCCCACACACGTATAGGTGTAGGGTTTAGGGTTTACAGTAGGGTTTAGGTTTCGGGAAGCCGTTTCTAACCCCAAATCCTACAGTCATCCTTAGAAAAGGAAGCAGCTGAGCGCAGCGTCCTTCGGGGCCATCATCAGCGTGTCTTGCCTTTTGTTCATAGCCCTAAACCCTAAACCCTAAATAGGGAATGGAGGTATGGATTTTACAGAAACCCTTATCATTGCCCACGATACCCGAAAAGCTAGGCCCTAGTCTTAGTCCCTACAACCATGAACCCTCCACCCAGCCAGTGCTAAAGGCGGCCAGGGAAAATGAGAAGGTGAAAGAAAGCAGAACACAATGGAATTGATAAGGGAATTGGTGTCAGGGATTCTTCGGGTAAGGTTAAGCCTAGGTTTCTTGCAAGAGTTTGCGTGAGGTCTTCAGCGGTAGATGACAATTGACTGGCTCCGGAAGAGCCAGTAGTGTGTGAAAACTGGGTGTTTGGAGACTCTAGGACTTCACAAGTGTGTATAGGACGCGCATTTCGTTCCATGAGTTGCCGAAGTGCTGCATCTTGCAGGCTAAAGCGGTAGCAAAAGCATTGCAGGAGTTTTTTGTGTGTGCGGAAGCGCAAGAGTTTCCCCAGAGGCGGCTCAACGGCCTGTCTTTGCTACAGCACACCGGCCGTCTTGCTTCTGAAATAAGCTACAGCCTGAACTCCTTACGGGGGGTTATATAGGGGGTTATATATGGGAGATAAGGCGGATACTAGGAGTCTAGACTATGGCTGAAATGGGCAATGCGCGTGGCACTCTGTCGTATGCTCTGGGGGAGGAACGTTATCACGGTCTGGGCATGGATGCTTGAGCGCTGGGGGACGATCGGATCACCTCCTCTGCAAGGGCGGTCACTGAATCCTAAACCGTGAAGCCTCAACGTGGACAACCCTAAACCTTAAATTCCAAAACTTATTCCTAGGTATTCGCCCGCAGCCGCAATGCCCAGGGGGCCGAGAAGTGGCTCCGGGCGCTGATTGCGGAGGAGGGGTTATGACTTAACTGTAACCCCAAGTGAGGGTTTTCCCAAATAATAAGGATTATAGTACTTTAGGGTCTATATTGGGGGTCCCCAAACTACCAATTACCACAGTCTTGTGTGTTATACATTCTAGTCTCGATCTAAACGGCAATTATTACCAAGCTGTAGGTAATTGGGTTTAGGGTTAAGGGTTGCAGGCTTTAGGGTTCCATATTAGTTTTGAGGGAGTTCACAGCCTAATTCCTAAACCCAGTCATTCCCAGGTATCCCTATAGGCTTTAGGGTTTAGGGTAGTACCTTTGACATCATCCTCTTAAAGATCCTTGGGATTTCGAGGCTCGAGGGTTGGGTGCTACTTGGGATCAAACGGATGGAGGGGCAGTTAGCTTTGATGGTTTAGGGTTTAAGGTTTAGGGAGGCTTAGTGGGACAGATCTTTATCACTTTCTGAACGTACTGGTTGGTATTGGGCAATGAAGGACGGGAAGAGAAAACGGAAAATACATTAAGGATTATGTAGGGGCTACTATAGCATTGCAGCAGCCAACTCGCAAAAATCCGCCCTTCGCGATCAAGTTTCCGTCTTCAAGCCAGCCAAACTACTGAAATCCTCAAACCTGACAGAAAACCTGTAAGTCAGCTTTCAAAAGACTTAGCAGCTTTTTTCGTCTGCCCTTCCAAGGATCAGGACTCAACCTCATCCCCAAAACCATTGTAGATGCCATGTGCTCGTTATGCCTTGAGGCTCGAAGATGGAGTAGGAGGAGTTGTAGTAGTCAATGTGTGTCTTTGTGTTGGGATGTCTGTCGCCGTGGCTACTTTTTTTTTCGCATAGCCCCACTACATCGTATCATTTTCCATCACTCTCCTATGACAGCTCTACCTCTACCGACAGGTCCCGCATCCTGGTCCATCAACCCTGAACAATAGACCCTAAACCCGAAACCCTAAACTTCCATCACATAGGGTTAAGAGTTTATCTCTACCCCTACACCTGCTACAGGACATCGGCAAGCCGAACGTGATCAGCGTGAACATGGTCATCTCAACATTCGCCAAGCAAGGCCCTACACCTTTAGCCCAACGAAATTGTACATCCTAATCCCTAAAACCCTAAACCCTAAGCTTAAGGTTCCTGCTGCTCCAAAATAATAAGGCCTGGCCCTTAACCCCACATCCTGACCCTATATCCTACATCCCAGCGATGAACAAAAGGCGTTTCGTCAACTAGTGACCTAGTTCAGGGTTTATGGTTTAGGGTATTGGGTGGTTTTGGGGTCTATGGTTTAGAGTCTACCTAGATCCGAGGCCCTGAGCTACACCCCCCGGAACCGCATTCGTGGGGACCTTATATCCTTATCATATTCACCCCAAAAGCAGGTAGAACCCAAAGAAGTAGTATCTTATTTAGGGATACTATGGTACCCAATATAGAGTAAGATTATATCCTCCTTTTGGGGTATACTATTTTATATAAGGGATGTAATCTTACTGGGTTTAGCCACCAAAAAAATTCCACTCAAATGAAAGCTTAGCCTCCAAACCCTAAACCCTAAACCCTAAACCCTAAGCAGGCAACGTAGCCAAGGCGGAGCACTGGCTAAGGCCGGGCAAGTTGCAACAATCTTGCAGGACAACAGTGGAATAGTTTAGGGTTAAGGGGTTTAGGGTTTAGGGGTTCACGGTGTAGGGTTTAGGGGTTAGTGTTCAGGGTTTAGGGGTTTGGGTTTAGGATGATAGCAGTTATAGTCACAACCGTTATGCATAATCGTAGCACCCATGGTAAGAGTCATCATGCTTTGAAGAAGATGGACTTTTGAACAACAGCTCAATTCTTATCGTTTACTTCCTTGGATATTTTTCTGTCAATCGGATCGCTAAAGCGAGACCGCTTCGGCAAGGGTAGGGGAGAGCGGTCAGAGCGGCCCCATTGCCTCAAACGAACCACGCATGCGAATTGCTGGCCGCTGGGAGGGGGTAGGGGGAGGGTAACTCCTAGTCTCCCTCCCTGGACATAAACGCCCCAGGCCTCTGGCTTCAGCGGATATTTTAAAAGTAGTAAACCCTCACACAACAGCAGCTATTTTGCATGTTCTTTTCCATTTGATTCTCCATTGTAGGGCGAGAGGTTACCCCAACACTTGATTTCCAAACCCTTGAGCACTGGACTAGCCCCAAACCCTATGCACTGAACCCTTAACCCCAAGTTTTTTTCCCAAACCCCTAAACTCTAAACCCCAAACTCTATTAAAACAAAAACAGCTGAGGGAGATGCCCAAGCTTGGCCTAGAGGCGGTAGCTGGGCGCAACTTTGGAGTTTAGGGTTTAGGGGTTTAGGGGTGTAGGGTTTAGGGTTTAGGGTTCAAGGCTTGGGGGGGAGAGGGCTCAGGCCCCCTGAATGGGGTTGTAATGACGCTTAAACAAGGGGATGTACAGGGTTTGAAATTCATATGAGCCCTTGTCTAAACTCCTAGTATCCCCCGTAATAACCCCTATAGTAGTCCCCTAGATAATCCCCCATATAGCCCCCCTAGCCCCCCCTTTAGGGAGTTTAGACTACAGCTCATATAGGGCTTAGCATCTAGGATTTATGGTTCAGTGTAGAGCTTGGAGTTTAGAGCCTAAGGCTTAGGACGTGGAATGCTGGGCCTGGGTTTAAGAGTCTGGGTTTAGGGTTCAGGGTTCAGGGTTCAAGGTTTAGGGTTCAGGGTTTAGGATTTAGGGTTTAGGGTTAGGTGCAAAGATTTGAGGCTTAGAGTTCTCGGTTTCAAGTCTTGAACTGACACAAGAAAGCAGCTGTCGAACCCCTCCTGTGCATATATCCAGGAACATCCTCACAATTTAGAAGCCTGAATAGTGTTGAAGTCATCCCTTAATGATCCTTCGTATGCACAGATTGCTGCTAAACCAAATTCCGGCTTTAGTCCATGTTGATTTTATCAGACATGTGATTCCTTTGTTGCATCTGTTTTTGGCCTCTAGACCCTATGTCCCTGCTATATAATCCCTACGTATCTCCTATGTAATGATTTTAAAGGTAGGTCTTAGAGCCCGTTAAATCCTACATCCCAAGCACTACAATAGGGCCCTTCCATCCTAAACCCTAAACCCTAAATCCTAAACCCTAAACCCTAAACTCTAAACCCTAAACCCTAAATCCTACATCCTAAACCCTAAACCCTTAGCCCTACCATCCTCCCAGGACATCATGAGCTACAATGCTGTGATCGACGCTTGCGCCCAGGCCACAGAACCGCCACGACCCCTCCCAACATGCAGAGGTTTAGGGTTTAGGGTCCCCAAGCTGATGAGAGGTAATAAGGGCGAGTAACGAATAACATTTAATGAGCCCAAAAAAGTCCTCAAGAATGTTTAACAAGGTCTTAATTCGTGGGCCTAAAATCCCCCATGCAACCATAGTCCCTTCTATCCCTCAACCCCGCCTGAACCCCACACCCTGAACCCTAAACCCTAAGCCTTAAACCCCCCTACAAAACCCCATGAACAGGCCGGGGACATCGCCCGAGCTGAGCGCTGGCAAACTGCCTGGAAGGGGCTTTGGGGTTGAGGGACTCAGGGTTTTAGGGTTTAGGGTGGTTGAGGGTTTTGGGATTGGGGGTTTAGCGTTTGAGGGGTTACAGTATTTGGGGTTTTCAGGTTTAGGGCTTTAGGGTGTTGAGTTGTAGGGCCCAGGGTTGAGCTAGGGTTTCGTGATGTTGGGGTTTAGAGTTGAGTGATTCAAAGTTCAGGGTGTAGGCTAGTTTCCTTGAAGCTTGCGAGTACTGCTGTATCAAACAAGAATTGCCGCCCTCAACCCTAAACCCTGAACCCTAAAGCACGGGCAGCAGATCTGATGTTTTATGGTGTGACGATTTTAATGGGCTTGACCAAAGAGCCCCTTCTACATTGCAGCTGGCATGAGGTTCTGGCTCTTCTTGCTACATCTTGGTTGTGATCCCCTTGTCTTGGGCTTGTCCGTTCGTCGAGTTGCTGGCTTACCTTTATTTGCTATAGAAGCTGTGTCATACCCTACCCTTACTTGACATCTGGTCCCAAAATTATGAACCTCGAAAAAATATTACACCCAGCCTTAAACGCTGTAATTTTGGTCACTTAGGCAAGACCCCTGCAAACTATGGACATTCTTTTAGGGCGAGACGCAGTGCCGCACACAACAGCTGTGACGTGCAACAGCTCCGACCCTCCCTCCACACAAAGGCGGCTGCAAAGCAAGCACAAGTAAGCAGATGAGGGATTTTGCAAGGCTCGGCGCGGGGCCTCGCACGCTTAACCAAAAGGGGGGTAGTATCAGGTCTACATACAACCAGTCCGTATAGACTTAAACCCTATGCACCTTCCTCATAGCCACATTGTAAACAGAGACTCGCGTGAGCTCAGGCTTCAGAAGCTTCGCGAGGGCCCCCGCCCCAACATCGTGAGCTTCAGCTCGGTCCTCCATGCCTGCGCAAAGGCCCATGGGATTAGGGTATAGGGTTTAGGGTTTAGGGTTTAGGGTTGAGTGGGGTTATGAGGAGCAGGGTATATACGGAAGAATGGGAAGAATGGAAAAGAACATGGACATTAAGATGTAGGGTGTGGGGTTAAGGTGCTTCGATCCCACGGATTCGGATTTTGGGGCTAAGGGTTGTGAACTGAGGGCCCGCGGTTTCACGATACTGGGTTTCAGGAACTTAGATTAAGTTACCATAATGGGTACATATGTTTCCCCAATCTAGCAACTTAGATTAAATTCCTCAATAGCAATCTAGGATGGCAGTCATCAGTGTTGGCCACGTGTTTTGTGCGGTGTAGGGTGAACGAATGGGTGGTATAATAGTCAGAAGGGCAGGGGAGTATCGATCCTGAACCTTTTCTCTTTTTGCTCTGCCCCTCCTTTCCTCTCCCTTACTGGAGGTTAGTAGGGAACAAGGCAAAATAATCCCTATGTAATCCATACATAAATATATTCCCTAGTCCCCTACTAACTAACCCCCAGCAAGCTCCCCAAGGCAGGCGACGCGGATCGCGCAGAGCAGTGGCTCCATCGAATGAAAATGGAAGACGGCTTGACGCCCAACGTCATCTGCTACAATTCTGCAGCCCAACAGATTTGAGTAGCATTTTAAGCTGGGATAGTATATAATTGCCCCCAAGATATAGTGTTCTATAGGAAATGTAGTCCCAATTGGCTCAACCACCAATCAAAGCCACTCGTTTGAGAATTGCGGTATTGGGGTTGGGGACTTGCAGTTCTGCGACCCAACAAATCTTGGGGCTTGGGAAACGCCTACCGCGACACAATTCTTGGGAGGGTCGGTTGAGCATTTGGACTGAGTGTGGGGGATTTCTTTCGATTTCAGTATGGTATGGGATTTTGTACTAGTCCAGGCTGCTACGTTGCGCAGCGTTGGGTTTTAGGTTCAGCATGCGTTCTCGGACCCTGAGCAGCAAAGGTAATTCATGCATGCTGCCGAAAAGGCGAAGCCCGGCGGGCCGAGGACAGTTCTGCACCACAGGGCCGCAGGGTTTAGGATTTAGGATGTAGGGTTTGGAGTTTAGGGTTTGGGGTTTGGGGTCTAGGGTTTGGAGTTTAGGGTTTCTATTCTGGTGAGGTCCAAAGTGCTTCTGCTCAGGTTGCCGTCATAGAGGAATGTGCCGTCCCCTCAGCACTCTCTTCTCTTATAGTATAACCCCACTGTTTTTGGTAAGAAATTGATTGCAATATAGGTAAAAGGCTTTGCGGGGACTACCTCCAACCTTTAGGGCCCATAGTCCCCTGAGCACTCTCTTCTCTTATAGCATAACCCCAGTGTTGTTGGGTTGCAGGTAAAAGGCGCTACAGGGACTACATCCAGCCTGTAGGCCCCATAGTCTTGATGGCCGTGAGGGTTTTGAGGTTGGTGTGGATACATATTGACACTTACTTGGGGTGATACTGGGGTTATAGTCCCCTTTACCTTTAGCTTCGGAAAGGGGAAATCCAGCTTACGCGGGGGTTGCGCTCATATGCCTCCTTTTTGGCAAGTGCCTAAAGTTTGACGATTCGCACGTCGGGTACACGTGTTGTGCGGGCACGGGGGGGGGGGGTGGAGGTGTTTCCTGTTCGGGAATGTTGATGGCACGGGAAGTTCCCCATCTCAGACTACCTTGTTCTTACAACTAGGCTTTCTCACACTAATTGTCCTTGTGGCCGCCTCTTCTAGAGCTGTTTCACGGCACTAAACCCTAAAGCACCCTAAGCTGTGCCCCGCAAACTCGACAGACATAAAACCTTCGCCAGTTTGGCAGGACTGGCTGATGCGCCTTCAGGAGGGCGGTGTCCAGCCAACTGTGAGCAGCTATGGCGCCATCATCGCCACTCTGATCGTTTGTCCATATGGCAGTTTCCCAAAATAGGCCCAAGACATTATAATCCTTATTGTAAGGACCCCCCGCAAACAGGTGCCCCTAAAATTGTTATCGTTTTACCGTCATTTTCAAGTTTGCATATTGTTCACCATTTTCGGCATTTTTTGGCAATTGATAATTCTCATCATGTCAAAATTTCCTCATTTTCATCATTTTTGCATTGCCTTGAACCAATTTTCATCATTTGCAACAGTTTGCATGATTTCTCATCATGAAAGCAAATACTGGAAATTGCCACAACTTGTCTGGGTTCTAGAGAAGCCCAACGTAATTCGGGCCCACCGAAATCCCAGATCCTAAACTCTAGGGCTTTGCGCTGGGCAAGGCATAGCGATCTCACGCTACCTCAACCTAACTGGTGGCTTGCTTAAATAGGACATAGTCCCCAAACTTGTGCTATTTCAGGTTTCGCAATTTTGCAATTTTATGAACTTGGCCAGTTGGTAGTTTCCATATGGGGGACCCCAACATGGACCCCAACATGGACCCGTTATCATGGGCATCCTAACAAAGGCACCCCACTTTTGGACCCCTGAGAGCCTGCAAAATCCCTGGCCCTATATATCCTTATGATATAACCTCTATATCTCTTTAAGGTACCCCTGATTATCCCTATGTATCCTTATAATATAACCTCTATATCCCTTTAAGGTACCCCTGATTTTTTGAAAGCTGCCAGACGATGGCCCAGGACTATCACGCCAAAGCCGGTGAAACTGCCCCAGCAGAGGCCTGGACTCTTGGCCTCTGCTTCAAAGTGGTTGGTTTAGGGTTTAGAGTTTAGGGCTTAGGGTTTAGTGGTCAGGGCTTAGGGTTTAGAGTTTAGTGCTCAGAGCTTAGGGTTTAGTGTTTAGGGCTTAGGGTGTACGGTTTAGAGTTTAGGGTTTAGGGGGTGTTTAGGGTGTAGGGCAGCGCCAGGGTTGATGGCTTGCTTGGAGGTTTATGGGCAGCTGGCAGCTAGAAAAGCAAGTGGCTATAGCCAAATTACTTTGCACCATGTACCACCAAGTGGGTACCCCCGAGCCCTTAACCCTAAAACCCTTAACTCCACGCGGTCTGAGACTTCCCCAAACCCTAGACGCTAAACCCTAGACCCTAAACCCTAAAGGCCTAGTATTGCAGTTACCTTTGTGCAGCTGGAAAAAGGTCCGTTAAAAAACCCTAAAGGCCTCTATTTGGCCGGGCTGAGGATTGCTCGCATGGAAGCCGCTGGCGTGAAGGCGGATGTGGCAAGCTACAACATGATCCTGTCGGCTCACTGCAGATCCAGGACCATGAAAGGCCTTTTGAAGGATTTAGGTTGGGTACTGCCCCCACCCAGTAGCAGTCTATATTAGGGGTCCTATTAAGGGCTATATATAACCCTATTATATTTATTATCCAACTGTTACTGAGGGGGACAGTACCCAAGATTTAGGGCTTGAGGTCTAGGGACTTTACAGGGACTACATACATTAGGCAAGATCCCCAAAGTAGAGGGTACCCATGATTCAGGGAAATCCTGATCAGAAAAGCTTTATAGAATCCCAGATGAACTCTTAAAACGGTACGCATGCGTTCAGAAACCCCTTCCCTCAATACCATTCCAAGGAAACCTTAGCTACCAAACCTTGGACACTGAACCCTGAACCCTCAATCCTAGACCCGAGACCCTAGACCCTAGAATCTAAACCCTAAACTAAAAACTCTAGACCCCAAACCCTAAACCCCAAACATAACCTGGTCATCACATGTTTCATCGCAAGCGCAAGGCCCAAACCCAGTCGCCTTTAATCCCAAACGCTGAACTCCAAGCCTCACCCCTAGACTAGTTTTTGAGCTATAGTCTAAACTCCTTAAACAGGGGTTATATGGGGGAGTATATAGGGGAGTATTATAGGGCGTATTAAGGGGATACTAGGAGTTAAGACTATAGGTCATATAGGGATTATAGGGTTATAGAGGAAAATGGAAAAGAAAATGGAAACTATTATAACGGGTTTAGGGTTTAGAGTTTAGGGTTGGTAGGGCTTAGCGTCACCAACCCCCTCAACCTCAACTCCTTAGTGGTTTGAGGGTTCGGGGTTTATTTGGGGAATACCTGGGTCATAACCTGGCAATCTGCTCGAGCCGATCGTCTCTGATACATGTAGCAAGTACTGTAGCCATCACTAGTGCTTCTTAATATGAATACGTATTTGGCTACTCTGGCTTTGAGTATCTTCCCATTGCGTCGAGGTGCTGAGAAGTTCTTGCAGACGCTGCATTCCAAACAAGCGTTGGGGCCTTAGCCGTGTTTTTTTGGGTTGTGTTACTCTTGACAGGCTCGCGGTATCACTCAGAGAGTTGATTTCCGTAGATTCCCTATGTGCCGCGACCCAAAACCCGAGTCTAGTTGGTTTTATAGGAATGAAACCCTAAACCCTAATCTCTAAACTCAACTCATGCCGCCCCTCGTTATTTTGGTAGGATTCGATCAAACCCTAAACCCTTAACCCAAAACCCTAAACCCGGAGCCATCCCTAAGAGGGACCTCTAGTACTCTGGCTTCCCCACGTGTCCCAGATGGGCTTGCTGGAAGATCCTGTACTGAAGGCGTGCCTGGAGTTTCCCTAGAGTGGAACCCTCAACACTAAACCTTTCAGTATTTTGTTGTTCATTAACAGGGAAACCCTTAAGAACTTAGAGTTTGCAACAGAGCGCCCTCGCTCGCATCCCTCTTGGTAGCCTTCATCTGAGTTGCTCTTCAGGAACTTATGTAAGTCAAGTTACTGTACTGAGCAAGCCGTATTATTTATTCTATGCCCATACTATGGTAACTTTGCCCAGATCCCCCCAAAGCTGAGGCCAGTGAACACAAGCACTTTGAACTTGATGATCGGTGGCTATGCTCGCCTAGGGGCCGCTGGTCTTTCTTATGTCGTTTTGTGGACTTTTGTTTTGCTAGGTTCAGAGCTTGATCAGGGTTGTCTTTACATACTGTTTGTTAGTTTATGGGGGGGGGGTTGGGTTCTTTGATTAAGGGATAAGCTTGCTCAGAGTGCATTTCAGGTCTTCTTATTGGGTTCATAGTTTGAGTTCAGGGTCTGTGGCTGTTTCCGTGCATGGCGGCGGCCACCTTACACAGCGCCAAATGGTCAAGGGCAGAAAAACTTAAGAACGCGCCCGTGGCTGTCTCGAACTACTTGTTAAGACCTGTCAAGACCTCTTGGGAAGTAGAGAACTTGGATCAAGGACACTTGCTTTTGTGGAGCAATTTGATTTACAAGCTCAGTCAGACTCATTGAAAATCTATCTCCTTGAGCAGTGGTATGCATTGCCTCCCAACCAGCAGAGGACACAAGTGGCGCCATTGCTTGCCTGCGCAGTTTCAAGGAGAGGGCCGTGAGCGCGGACAGTACCTGGTTGGTCATGGAAACATGGTTTCCTTCGAGGTTCATGGGTAACTATAGGTAGAGTACTAAGTACTTCAATGAGGTGATAACCATGAGCCAGTATAACCTGAAGCCACTCCTTGCAACCAGGGTTTAGGATTTAGTACCCCCTAGAAACCCCAAACTCTAAAACACTATGAAAGTCGTCACCGCAATGGATGTCATCATTCGTCCACTTCAAACCCTAAACCCGAAACGGCCTCAGGTATGACCTGGAAGTTGATGGTGAAGGCTGTCACGGAGGGAAGTAGCTCTGCTGCTATCCAGCTGCTCGAGGCTGGCCAACAGGGGCGTATGTAGGGATTTTAGAAGGATATAGGGGTTAGGGTTTAGGATATAGTGTTTAGGGGTTTGGGATATACAGGGATTATGTAAGGACATAGAGGGTTTAGGGTCTAGAGGTTTGGGTTTAGGGTTTTGTCTATGAGGTATTGTGGGGGGCGAGGAGGCATGCTCATGCCATCTGTACCACCGTCTTGGCACGAGAGGTTTGAGAAATGAAAGCAACGGAAAAGAGCATGGAAACTACTAGAATTTGATTGCATCGGGTTTAGGGTTTAGAGTCTACCCTCCCCAAAACTAACATGGGGCACCAACTCGGCCCACTTCCATAGGACCATAGTCTTTGCAACAGCCCTCGTAATCTTGTCAGCCCACTATTTGACCGATCAGGGCACCCCCTGCTCCAGAGAGCTTACGACCCAAATCTCACATATACTTAACCCTAATGTAGAGGCCTGTGTTTCTGTTCCAAACATTATTGCTGTATGACCCTTATGTAGGTATAGTATACAGCAACCCAGATACATTTTCAATTACATTTATATTTCCATTTGCTCTATATGGTGATTTCCCACTTCGTGGGTATCCCAATATAGACCCCAATATACTAGACTCCGTATCATGGGGACCCCTTAAAATGGTTCTGCTCGCCTTGGGAAACCGCCAGATGTTCTAGCTCTATAGACCCCACACCAGCCAACCAAGGAGTTTCTAAGCAGTATATCATCTCCGTTTCCATTTTCCCCATATATAATCCGGAACGTCCCTACGTAATCATTGTCTACATAGTCATTATGTATATGAACCCAAAGCCGTGTGCCAATCATCCACGGGCCCCGTGAAACTGCTTGGCCATTCCTATAAAGCCCGACATCATGCCTATAAGCCTTAAAACCCTGAAGGAACTGAACCCTAAATCCTAGGCCCTATGCCATCCCCACTGCCCCCAAAAACACACACACACACACATATATATAGATGGATAGATAAATCGATAGATATACAGATATACCCTAAACCTATACCCTAAATTCCTAATTTTTGCACACCATCAGCGGGAGGCCCTTAGCGCCGAGGGTTTTGCGCCGGAGCTCGCCTGCTTCAACGCCATCCTGGCACATTTTGCCGCCAAGAAGGACAGCCCGGCTTAGGATATAGGATTTAGGCTTTAGGGTTTAGGATATAGGGTTTAGGATATAGGGTTTAGGATTTAGGGTTTCGGATTTAGGGTTTAGGATATAGGGTTCAGGCTTTGGGGTTTCAGGTTTGAAGGGCTTAGCGGGAGTTATTTGGACGCCCAAGCCCCAGAACTAAACACTAAAACTCTGAGCCTTCAAAACCCGAAGCCCCAAAGCGAACCCTGAACCTGAATTAAACCCAAAACGGCGTAATTGTGGAGAGCTAACTTCAAAGCCCTGAACCCAAGATCCCTGACTCTAAAGCATGTAACTCCCAAAGCCCGAATCCAAAATCCTAAGTCCGATAGTCCCAATACCAGTCCCTTTCAACCCTCATGTCTTGCATCCTATATTCCCGAAATCCTATTTTAAGTGACCCTAAACCGTCTCCGCGTCACACCTAAACCCTAAACCCTAAACAGAGGATGTGGCCAGTGCGGAGAGATGCATGCAGAGCCTTATCAAAGCCGGGCTTAAACCGGATGCTGCGAGCTTCTGGACCGTTTTTCTAAAAGGTTTTGGAGTTTAGGGTTTGGGGGTTTAGGGTTAAGGGGTTTAGGGTTTAGGGGTTTAGGGTTTGGGGTTGTTCATAGTGGTCAGTAGACTGTAAGATTGGATCCCTGTAGTCGTCCTTAATGTAACCCATTCCTTTATTCCTTACTGATCACCAGAGAGGTTAACGTTTTAGGATTAAGGGCTTGAATAGTGAGCAAGATCATCGGCCTATAGTCCCTTCTGCAATTGGTCGGGGTCTCGGGTTTTCAATTGCACTGGAATATAGTATACCCACACAGCCTTACTTATTCAAGAAGTGTATGCCGCTAAGATAGTTCCTAGACGGACCATCTGAGGCTTTTCTGCAATGCTGCAAGCATGTGCCGGGGCCGGCGATGCTCTTCGTGGCGAGCATTGGCTCTGTCAAATGGTGAGGGTTTCCTCACAAATTATTAGGGTAAACGCACGGACGTTAACGCACAGATCTTAAGAATTCAATTGGGTTTCGGCCTACCGTAGATCACATGTTGAGCATTCAGGTAGTATGTTGGGATATTATTCTCACCCTGAACCCTAACCTTGAATGCCCAACCTGGACCTCAAGAATACGTAAAATGATGGCCCAAAGCCCTAAAAGATAGTTGACAAGCCTGTTATTCTACATACTTGGAGGCCCAATGTAGACCCACCCCCCGAAATAATTAGTCCTTAGCATAGGAAAGCCCCAAGCCTAGAACCCTAGACCCTATAGTCCCCCTCAAGTAGATAGAATATGGCTTTGGGTATGTTATGATAAGGTCCCCATATACCCCATATTCTACCTACTTGAGGGGGACTATAAAAGCCCAAACCTTTTATGGTTTCAGGAGGTTTCTGAGCCCCTCCAGGTGGCCGAGGGCTTAGAAGCCCACGCTTCGGTGATCGGCCAGTTCTTTCATGGCCTCAGCCATTTGGCGCAAAACTTTTGGGGTTTAGGGTGTAGGATTTAGGGTTTAGGGGGGTTTGAGGGGTTTAGGGTCAAGGGCTTAGGGTCTGGGATTTAGAGTTAAAGTTTGGGTCTTTAGATACGGGAGTTTGGGGGTGTAGGGGCTCAGAGTTGCAGGGCTTTACAGGCTTATAGACCCCCTTAAGTAGATAGAATATGGTGTATATGGGCATCTTATTATAATATACCCACAGCCATATTCTATCTACTTAAGGGGGACTATAGGGCTTAGTGCTTTAGAGTTGCCACATCATGTTGCATTTGCTTTTCTCCATTTGATTCTCCACTTCTGGAAGAATCTTCTTGCATAGCGCCATATACTCCCAGTATGTCCCTGTAGTATCCCCATGGACTCCCTACTCCTTATTTTGCCCCCTATGACTCCTAAAAGGACACGGACTATTCTGGGGGAATTAAAGGGGGATACTAGGAGTTTCGACTATAGCTCATATAACCCCGTATAAAGCCCTTAAAACCCAATAATATAGTTCCATCATATTCCTTATACACTCCCTATATAATCCCACAAAAACCATCTAAACTCCTATGGCCCCACAGGTAAGCTCGGTGACGTGCAGCGCCTGGAGCGGCTTTTGCAGAAGTACAAGCTGGGGGGCGGCGAGCCCATTAGCAGCATGCGCCTGGGAGACGATTGAAGGGGTTTAGGGTTTAGGGTTTAGGGGTTTAGGGGTTTAGGGTTTAGGGGTTTAGGGGTTTAGGGTTTAGGGGTTAGGGGTTAGGGGTTTAGGGTGTAGGGTTTAGGGGTTTAGGGTTTAGGGAGATTGTACATGTGTCCGCCTGCCTGTTAAGATCATCTCTCTGAAAACGCCGCTGGTGCCATAAACA